GTTTTAATTATATAAAAAAACTAGATAAAAACAAAATTGGTCTTTCATTCTTATTTAATCATCTGCTCAGAAAATCAATATCCAACAAAAGCAAACAACCAAAATTGCAAAAGGATTAATCAACCTGTAATATTTACCTGAAACAAGATTTACAGAGAAAACTTTTTAAAAACACTGACCCATCCACATAATTTCACTCACTTCCACGCTCTTGTTGCCCACACACAATTCAGTGTTTGCCCGCTGCTGGCACATTCTTCCTTTTCTCAGCAAGCCACCCCATCATCCCATTAAAAGTCTGAGACACACATCCAGTGACCAGGTCAATCGATAATGATGCAGACTTCTCTCATTAGGAGAAGGAGCCCAACTGCCAGGCAACCTGCCACTATCCTTCTCACGTCATCACATATACAGTAATACAGACTCCACGATGCACAAGCCTATGGTGATATGGAAAAACTTGACAGATGGAGTCTAGTATTCACATGGCTTAGTATGTGGCAGTTGGCACTCCGAGTTATTCAGGAAGGATAAATTATGTAGCCATTTCAAAGCAAGGATATTGCATGCAGGTTAAAAACATTAATAAATGATGTTTTGGCCCAAGGGAAGCTAGCAGTATAGCTGAGAATGCATATATAATATAACACATTTTTAGTGAATTCTCATTGGAAGCATGTTATAGACTTTAGAAAATGGCTGCATTGATTCCAGAGACTCCCTCGAATGGAGACTCCACATTACCACTTAGAGCTTGAATGAAGAAAGCAGCAGAAGATTCATTTACATACCAAAGAGGACCCGGGCACAAGAGCATCGACCACTGACACAGAAAAAAATCAATTTTCATCTTTAAAAAAAAAAATTTACAATATATTTGCAGACTTACTCTATTTATTTATTTATTTATGCAAAGTAAAATCTTTATATTTTCCTGGAAGGAATGAAAGGATGTCATGAATAATAACTACAGCACAGTTTAATCTAGTTAGTGGTGCTTGCTAAATGTCACCATTCTCATTAAGAGTAGGTAAGAGCCCCTAATTCTATGTTAATAAAAAATATTTTTTGTGTGATAATGACAAATTATAGCTCAAACCATGAGTATTGTTGAAGAAAAATGTGCTATAACAGAACTTTGCTAAGATCAATGGATGGACAAGGATAGATATAATGTACTGTCTCTATAATGTATAAAATATAATGTATGTAGCAAAATACTTGTATACTCAAAATGTGAGAGCCACCAAGTCATATTTTATGTAAGTAACAGCGCAATCTTATCGGTTGGCCAATTGTTTTTGTAATGCAGTGGGGAAAAAAAGTTTTTTAACATTCAAATTAATCAACAATATTGTACCAAGGAAATACAGGAGAAAAACAACCAAACAAACAAACCAACCAACCTCACTCTGCTTGCCGAAGAGATACTAAAAGCTGAAAGCTCGAATCATTCTCCCGAGTTGTACCTGTTAGCTCATGAGCAAACGTGGTATATTACTCTTACTCTACTTCGTCTCACTTATATCCTATACGTTTATTACTCCCTCTAGTAGTAACGCCAAGCAAAGCAAGTTAAAGGGGAAGGTCATTACACTCCCACCAAATCATGTTATGATAACCCCCCCCCCCCCCCCAAAAAAAATATACATGATTTCAAACTTCTATGGCCCCTGTTCAACACAAAACAAAATAATAATAATTTTAACCTGGTATTACCTAATTGTCTGATGCAGAAACTATATACATGAATCACTCACTTTCAAGTAGAACCACTAATTTTTGAATTGGTCGCTCAATGATTGAAGGTTTAGAGTGATGCCCTAACTTCGTCTTTAGTTTTCGTTCTCCTGTTTGAACTTTAACTCGTAGGACTAAGCCATCACTCCCTTGAATGACCTCAACAACTCTACCTAACTGCCGCTGATTCCTTGGCAGCATGTCATCTTTAATGATGACTATGTCATTAACTTTAAGATTACGTAGAGGTACATGCCACTTCTGTCGTGTAGATATATTCATGAGATATTCTCTTTTCCAACAACTCCAGAACTGTTCAATTAAGTACTGGACTCTGCGCCACCTTTTTGTAGCATGTCTTCCTTCAGAAATTTCCCAGGAGGAGGAAGAGCGATCTTAGACTTCATTAAGATAAGATGGTTTGGTGTTAAAGGTTCCAGTGACTTGGGGTCATTTATTCCATCTACAGTTAATGGTCGACTGTTAACGATAGCCATCGCTTCATAAAACAATGTCCTAAGAGAGGAGTCATCAAGCCTGCCTGAGCACAGAGAAAGTGTGGAATTCAGAACATTTCGCACAGTCCTGTTTTTGCGTTCCCAGACACCACCAGAGTGACTAGCTGAAGCAGCGTTAAAGACAAACTCACATTGACTTTCTGTAAGAAATGCCTCCAGTGTCTTGACATCACATTCTGTAAGATCATTAAATGTTTTCGCTTTCAAGTTTGTTTCTAGCTCCTACAAAATTTGTGCCACAATAAAGTTGACGAACAGCTCCACAGAGGCTTATGAAACATCTCAGAGCATTAATAAACATGTCTGTTGACAAATTGTCCAGCATTTCGATATGGATATCTCGAGAAGAAAGGCAAGTGAAAAGAAGGCCATACCTTTTATACTCCTTTCGACCCCTCTTTATAATGAATGGGCCAAAGCAATCCATGCCAGTATAGCAGAAAGGGGCAGAGACTTCAATTCGTTCTTTAGGAAGTTCCGCCATTTGTTGCTCCTCCACAGGCCGTCTGAGCTTCCTACATTGTACACATCGGTAAATCAATTTAGCTACCGACTTGCTGCCGCCGATAACCCAAAATCCATTTGCTCTGAGGAGAAGCGACTAAACCGCACAAGAAAGTCAGAACTAACGTCACCCTTAGTCACAAATGTTTGTACTAGCTTAACTTCAGGATCTCCCACAAGTAGATCATTTGAGGCATTAGGAGTTGGACACACTTCTCGTTCCCACAAAAATGTAGGTCCTGCTATACAGTTTGTTGAAGATATGTCTGAGACAAGAAGATCTCTGGAAACATTATCAGCACGATTTTCAGATGTGTTAACATAACACCAGTGGCTTGTGTTTGTAATTTCCCTGATTAACTGGACGCGATTTGCAACAAACACGTGAAACCTTCTTGCTTCATTGTTAACATATGCTAGTACAACCTGCGAGTCAGTCCAAAAGTACTCTTGATCAATCTTCATTTCCAGTTCAGCCTTTAACATAACACTCATCCTGGCAGAAACTTCAGCAGCAGACAATTCCAGTCTTGGAATACTTTTGATCTTTGTGGGTGCGACTCGAGCCTTAGCCATTACAAGACTACAATGTACTTCGTCTTTGTCATTCTTGAACCTGAGATAGGAACATGCACCATACCCTAGGTTGCTTGCATCTGAGAATTGGTGCAGTTCTGTCCAGACAATGGTGTCAAAAAATGGCAGATGATAGCATCTTGGGATGCTGAAATCTTTCAGACCATGAAAACTACTTTTCCACTTCTCCCACTGCAGAAATAATTCATCAGGGAGAGGATCATCCCATCCAATATTTCTACAACACAGCTCCTGTAAAATACACTTTCCTTTCAAAAGGAAAGGAGCAACAAACCCAATAGGGTTGTACAAAGAAGCAACGATTGGCAAAATACCTCTACGTGTTGAAGGCTGATCTTTCAGCTTGATGTCAAAACTGAATGTGTCATCTTTCGTAGACCACTGGATACCCTGTTACTTCAGGACTAAGGTTAAGCGGTTTGGTTGTTATTGCCCACTCTGAAGAATCCACACACTGTAGAACTTCTTTCTCATTTGAATTGAACTTATGAAGGCGTAACCCTCCATACTTGCACAAGTATGGAGGGTCTTTATCTGCTTGTAGCATCTGCAGATTTGTCCTTTCTTCCTCTAGTTTTGAGCGCATCTCAGTTTCTTTCCGTTTCATCTCAGCTAGCATTCTTGCTTCGTTCAGTTTCCAATCATTCTCTATGTTAAGTAGTCGGGCTTGCGGAGTGTGAATTTCTTGCATAGCCTTCACTTGCTCAACTTTGGCTGCGAGTTCTGCTTCTGCATCAGCTCGCTTACTGGAAGCTTTGGAAGAGGTCTTTGATGTCGTTAATAAACTCCCCGAAATCGGTGATGATTCTGAGATGATAGTCTCTGTATTGGTACAACCAAATATAGATTCATACTCGTTTTTATTTAATATATGCTTTACTCTCTCTTTCACAACTTCTTTCTTCTGAATCTCATCAACAGTTTCTATTCTTTTGCTCACCAAATCACAAATTTCTGCAGTCAGTGTGAAACAAACATCTATTCTTTTAACAACCTCTGAAGTTGCAGTATTATTGTGCAGTAAGGGAGCATAATGCTGAGTGACTACAACTTGTCTAGTTTGAATGTCCTTTCAAATTTGTTCAAGCTCTTCACATGTGCACAAAGCTTTTAATTTAGACATAACTTCCTTAGCTATCTGCTTCCAGGAGTCGTAAGCTTTATTAAAGGCTTTCTCATGTTTCTTTGCCTCCTGTTCATGCATCTCTTGGCCTTTCTCTGTGCGATTTCTTTTTCGTGAACTTGATTGTGATCCTTCTTTTTGCATTATATTAGTGTCTAAATCCTGATCAGTAACTGATTTTTGACTTGCTTGCACTACCGTTTGCTCGACTGCGTCTTCCATTTTGTCAGTCTACAACTTAAATCAAATTTACACCAAAACTTATAATCTAGACACTTAAATATTTAGCAAAGGGAATACGTCAAATCATATATGCAACACACTTATAAGTTCCTTCACACTTATAAGTTCACTCAACACTTTGGAATGTTTATGTTACATATACCATAAGTAAACCCAGCATTAAACTATGGCAATCAATGCCTTATAAATGAGTACTCAAGTTAATAACTTCACCTTCATTAATCAATGGTCACCCTTCATTCATAAAATTTGATGTAAAATTGCTTACAAAATTCACTTACAAAACTACAAAATCACTTTAATTATAAAAGTTTCGACTTAATGCAAAAGCTATAACCATGGAGTCCTTTTTTTTTTTTTGCCTCCGAGTCTGTACCAACAATTTTGCTTTGCGGTCACCTTTCAGTCGTTCACAAATGAGGAGTATTCCAAGCTGTTGACTGTATAATGTTGCAGTCCTATCATGGAATCGGTCTCTTACTGACGCGATGCAAACAAGGTGGCACGATGAAAGCATTCGCTGCAGCATCAAGTCCCACTCATGCGAGGAAACAACAGCCACGCGATGAAGTCGTCATCTTTAGCAGCGAGTTTTACTGTAGCAGCCCTTCAGCGTCGAACAAAAAGAGGCAGAGAGTTTCTGACGGGTGCCTTTTGATTTATTTTACTCAGATGCAATAAACTTCACTGCTGAAGTATTCGTTATCTCAATTCTTTGTTGCATATTCTCTCCATGCATCACAACCATTGATTGACTTCATAGCATCATTACAACCAGATCACTTCACCGTGGCACCGTAAAACTACAAAGAAAACAAATAAAGAAACAAACAAAAAAAGAAAAATAAACTATTTTAACTAAACATATTTAACATTCAAATTAATCAACAATATTGTACCAAGGAAATACAGGAGAAAAACAAACAAACAAACCAACCAACCAACCTCGCTCGCTCTGCTTGCCGAAGGGATACTAAAAGCTGAAAGCTCAAATCATTCTCCTGAGTCGTACCTGTTAGCTCGTGAGCAAACGTGGATTATTACTCTTACTCTACTTCGTCTCACTTATATCCTATACGTTTATTACTCCCTCTAGTGGTAACGCCAAGCAAAGCGAGTTAAAGGGGAAAGTCATTACACTTACGTAAACCAAAAAATCCATTGTATTGATGCAATGCAAATGTTTGTGTTGATCTGAACAGATGCATTAACAACCATTCATTCAAATTTAAATATATTTCACACCGAATATTTGTCTTGGTGTGAACAAGCTTTTCACTGAAGGAGAAACCCAAGCCATATCTAGAGTCCAGAATATCACAGACCCTGTGTCCAAACATGCTTACTTCCTTCCTTCCATCCTTTTTCAGTTTTATAACGTGTGAATATATCCCCTATCGTATTCTACAACAAAAACAATCAGAGCGCTTTGTTAGCACTAGTTCTATTTTTGACTTCCGAGTCCGCTATTAGCATATAGCCCGCTAGCATCGCCAGCGTGGTTGCCGCTAATCTCGCTTACACTAATACTCTATTCACACACATTTCCATTGTTTTACTCACTGTTACTTGCTTTAATGGCGGATGTGTGTCTACCTTTGAGTGCAGGTGAGGACACGTTCGAGATGCATTCGGTGCAGCTCGAGCTGGAGGCCGTGGAGAAGCAGATCCGGGACCTGGTGGCAAAGCAGACCCAGCTGAGAGCGCGGAGAGCCGCGCTGGAAACATCCCAGGCTGACGCTCACAAGTCCGAGGTAAGTATACAGCGCGCTGCTATCTCTCCCACCACCTCTACTCCGTGTGTTTCTCTGCACAGGCCCGGGGC